ACACCAATCTTTTTCAACATGTTGCCATTCTTCTTCTTTGATGAATCGTCATCGTCGTCCATGTCTTCCCATGCAATTCTTGGCTTATAGTTGATATCAAAAGACAGGCTCTTCTCTGCTTGTTTCCCATTGTTAGTAATCATGGCCGCAGCTGCCTCGGCAGCCTTTCTCCATTGGTCTGCCTGCACTTTTAGTCTCCTCAACTCCGTCTCCATTTCTGCCTTCGCTGCTTGCCCTGCATCCAGCTCTTCGCTCACCCAAGCTGCTCTTCGGTTACTCTTATCGGCTTCCTCCGTTAGATATCCAAGTTTCATCAATGCCGCTCGCTCTGCAGCCCTTGCTGTTTCTAATAATCCACCTGATTCATCACTAACTTTGTTACTCTCCATTCCACTTTTATCGATTTCCCTTTCGAGCATTTTGTTTTGCTCGGTTACTGTCTTCAGTTCGGTTTCCTTGGCCGTCAAGTTCTCTCTCAATTCAATCAAATCGGCCTCTAACTTCTTCAACTTCGCTGCATGTTCTGATTCTCTTCTGTCATACTGGTTTTTCTCAATCTTCATGTCCAGACCCTCGTTTTCATCCATTAAGTTCGATCTCATTTCTTCAATGTCGGCTTTGGTTCTCTTCAACTCGGCCTCGAGTTTGGCCTCCCTTCGGGAAGACTCCATTTTTATGCATTCCAGTTGTTCATAAGCACTTCTAGTTTGCAAGGTGCTTTTAATATATTCTTCTTGGTACCTCACATCAGTTGCATCCAATGCCGATCTCAACTGACCAATTTCGAGCTTGGCGAAGTTAAGCTCGCTTTTGAGCTGATGTATGTCCTCGTTTTCTTCGTTCTGTTGATGTTTATCAACTTCGCGATCCCTGACGCTGCCACTGCCAACGAGTTCTACTTGGAGCTTGCTAACGATTACCTCTAATGACTTAACTCTGCCTTTTGATTGTTCCAACTCCAATAGTAATGTGTTGTAAGCTTCTGTTTCTTTGGTTGCATTAGAACGCATCATTTCGATTGTTTTATTTGCTGCATCGAGTTGCATTCGGCTTTTGCTAACGAGTTCAAGAGCCCGGGCTTCGGATTCTCGACGATCAGTGAGCTCGCACTTAAGTTTTTCGACCAATGAGAAAGTTTCGGTCAGTTCTATTCTCAAGTTCTGAATCTCAGCTTGTGCGGACTCGGCATGCTTGGTTTGAATGGCTTTGGATTCATATGCCTTTTCAAGCTGAAATTTAAGTTTCTGAATTTCGTTCATAGAAGAGGCCAATGCAGCAGAGTCCATTGAGTGCTGTTTCTGGACAGCCTCGAGTTCGGACTGCCACGCTCTATCTCGATCTTGTGAGATTTTACAGAGTTCCTGCACGCGGTCGTCCTCGGAGGTAGAAATTTCCAGCAACTGTTTCTCGGATTCTTTGAGCTTGGCGGACATTGTCGATAGCTTTTTCTTGGCATCCTCGGCTTCCTTAAGGGCTAGCCTCTTCCATGACTCAGATGCAGTCAGTTGATCCTTTGTCTTTTTCAAATCAGCTCGGAGTTGATCGAGCTGTGCTTCGAGTTCAGTCACTCGGCTCGATCGACTCTTCTAGAGCTCACACAACAAGAGTGGAAATCACATAAGCAGATAGATAAGTAAACAAATATATGTTCTATGATTTGTAATAAGTGACTGAAGAATACCTCAGATACTCGAGTTCTCACTACTTTATGCTCGGTACCCTTAGGACTTTGGTCTTTAGGCATTTACCTGCAGGGTTCGGATATGAAACAGAGCCGGAATCCAATCCCGGTATCTTCAATTGCCGAGCAGTTCGAGGAGTTGAAGGAGATTTTCTCCGAGGCACTGCTACAGAGCTTGTTCCACTGTCACAACATGAAAATCAATGAAGCTGATGGTTGTAACATTCAAAGCACAAGTAAAACAACCGGTGAACTATCTTCAGGTCCGGCATATTTGCTCGGTGCTGAGAATGATAGTTCCGCTTGGGGATGAAAATGTACATACAAATACACCAATAACATACAAAAAAGCGTCTCTAGATCCTTGTTGGCATGGATTTTGATAAATGAAAAGCATAATCAATATTAATCTTAACTCATCAAGCTTAGTTTCCCTTGATTAGAATGTTATAAACACATCGACTAACGACGACCATACCTTGCTTTCTGCGTTTGCATGATTAAATGTATTCCCTCGAATCAAATCGGAGAAAGGGAAGGATTTACATATGTCCTCAGCCTCAAAAACCTGCAAATAGTGCAGAAAAATCATATATGCATGTATGTTTGTATGTATGTATGTATATGTAGGGGAAGAGGAAGCAAATAGTTAATGAAGGTTGGGGTGATATATTAGGCAGACCTAACAAACAAACAAATAATACAATTCCTTGAAAGAGAAACAATTCTCACTACCACCAACCATAACCAAATGACAGTTTTAAAAGAAAGAAACATCAAAAGGGTTCCATCAAATGAATTCATTTTTTTAAATAAAAAGCAATGAAAGTTGTTGTAATTCATCTTCTACATGAGGAAGTGAGCAAAACCCAGAAAGAAACTCACGGTTGAGCCTTAAAAATATCACTAAAACAAAAGATCAAACTTTAAAAAAAAAACTTTGTTTCAGAACAGAACAGCATATAGTGTTTCAGCTTGTAAAAGAAAAGCAGCAGCAGCAGCTTGTAAACAAAGAACCTTAAAGAAAACCCAAACAATGTTATGTTGTGTTTCAGCTTTCAGCTGTTGCTCAGTTTCCTAAAGCTAAAAGTGTTTCCTTTTTCTTTTTAATTATAAGAAAAATCTTGCTTTTCACTGTTTTCGTTAAGCAACAAAAGCAAAGGCAATGGCCTTATTGGGACGTTTTCATATAAAGAAAAGAACTACACTCCTCAGTCATGTGCCCACATTGGTTGCTGAGGCTCCTCCCCCCATGTCCCAATCCAAAGGTTTTACCTTTGTTTTTTTTTTTTGGTCTGAATCTGCCATTTTTTCCATTTTTAAAAACTATAGAAGCATATAGCGTTGACGTTGTGGTTTATTACAGCCATAAGTAACGACATATTGATTGTCTTTTTTCCACTGAATATTGACAACAAAAAAGATAAAACAATCTTCAAAATCATGGTCTTATCTCTTTGGCATCACTATGCTAAATAGACCTTGCTCTTTATGATTAATCATAACCAGTCTTTGCCATAAAGAATTCAGCTGTTCCATGCAATGAGATGCCAACTTGCAATTTAAGATTACCTTCCTTCAGATCATACCAAAATGTATCTAGATTCTGATGATTCAGTTTAAGAAATCATATCCAAATAAGTCTAAAATCAAATCATTTTGTTGGTCAAATTTTAGTTTTGACCCATTTATTATGCTTAATTTTGGGATTTAATCCATTTGATATAATTTGACAATTTACTAGTATAGGGCTAATACTTTTGCTGATATCTTGGCTAGCCTCTCTGGTAACATGGGTTCCTAAGACTTGAGCAACCCCTCGTGAAGCTTGGACAGCTCTCTTGAACGAAATTTTTGGATTGAAGCATGACGTGAATTGTGTGCTGTGAATTTCAAATATTTTAGCTTTAGGCACTAGTCTCAAATCTTGTATCAGTGACGGATCTGCCCACTTTAAAATTTAAATTTTCTTCGGTTAGCTATTCATTTTTCTGATTCTACTTGGCCTGAGATTTTATTTGTGCCTACCCACATACAAATTATAATCAAAGTCCGACTTAAAATTTGTATTGCTAATATATGTGAGTTCAGCCTAAAAAATATTTCTAAATTCGCTCCTATCTTATATATCAAAAAAGGAAATTATAACACCATTGGTTAGTCTAAATAATTAATACTTTTTAAAATATTGACCTGAACTCTTCTTGGAAAACATCTCTTCTGTTGACATAGATTTTATCATGTTAGAAGGGCTCTTTTTAAAGAACAGAGAGGATCAAATTATGTCAATTGAATATAGTAGAGGGACAACAACCACAATTTGACATATCCTTTTTCTTATGTGCAATTTACCATTTAGCTCTCTGACCTTTGTATAAATTGTGGAATAAGTAAGAGCATTTCCTGGAAAATCCAAAAATTTCCCTTTTGGAACTTTCCTTGGGCATCGACAATGCAGCCTAATGATTCAATGCAACTGACATGAATTAATTCAAGTTTCAACCAAGCATTCACATGTGCATTTTGTTGAATGGGGGATCCCTAGAAAAATTATAACCTCTAGGGACCATTTTCCCAAGACAAGTTTCGTTTGCTTATCCTTTTATTTCAATTTTGGTTGTCAAATTATGATTTTGACAGTAAAAATCAACATTGTTTTATCAGTTTATATTTACTATGCAAGTACTCAATCAATGGCAATCTGAAATGGATAAAAAAAAGGAAACTGATGATTTTGGTGTTCCAATTAATTAGAAAACACTCGTATTTTTTGTCTTGCATTGGAATAAAACCCTTTATTTACTTCTTTATGAGGATATCAAAGTATAAGGTAAGCTAAGGTTGCAAAATGAATAATAATAAAGGGTGTTTTAATGCTTTACGCCTTTGCTTTGTTTGCAATGAAAGCAACAAATAGTAATCTATTGCTCCTGATCTTTTTCTTTCATCATTCCCTTCGGACAACAAAGGAACTGAAACAAACACCATGAGAACTACGTTTGTTCATTTTTCCATTAAAGGTAACAAAACAATGACAAAAGCTACTAATTACTCCTCCCTACCCAAAAAGAAGCCATGGGATCTTATCTGACACTAACGGTAGTGTACCCATATAATGATATGTAATAGTGACTCATTTCCTCTCAAATCCACACTCATATATGGATGTTGTTTTCAGAGGAAAACCTTGTAAAACAAGGCAACTCAACAATCATTTATGTATATAATAATCAATAGGCGTGCAGTAAAAGAGTAGCCAAAAATATTCATTTTCATACTATTAACAAAATGTTTAGAAATCTGGCAATTCCATCATATTTTAGAGGACATAGGCAAAAAAACAACTTTCTCTAAACTTAGAATTGTAAAGGAACTGTACATTGCCTCAGCGCCACAACTCTTCTTTTTAGTATATTCTCTTGATATCAATATGATTAAAAAAGAGTTACTTTAACAGTCTCCTATCTGAACTTGAGTGAAAACGGAAAACCTATAATGGGATATTTAATATAAATATCAAAACATCACAAACTCAAGTTTCTCGAAGTGAGTTTATCACCTTGTAATGTAATTTTCCAGCAGTCAACTTGGAATATGAAGATTGATAACTTTTTGGGCACAACTGCAAAGAGCACAACATTTAATGGTTCAATGATCATTATTCTCATAGTAAACTATATGGACAAAGAGTACAAAGACAAGAAACTGGAAATCCTACATCAACCAAATAAAATTCACATATCAATTTCTAAAAGATGGCTTCAACACTAAGTTACTGCTAGCATGTATATCTATATATGTACATACACATATAAACAGGCAACAGCTGAGAAACCTATGTATATTTATTTCGGAGCACCATTTATAAATATATATACACACGAGTATATGCAAGTGACTGTGAAGGAAGGTACAGCAAAATAAATGGTACTCAGATAGAAACAAGTTATAATTAGCAATATCAGAAATAGTACGGCTTTCAAATCGATGGCTGAATTACCTTTGAATTTATTGTCCTGGGTTAATATACCAAATGTTTCCGCAGTTTCACGAATCATAATGCCACTCACTCCAGTGAAACTAGTTACCTTGCACTCGGCCACTATCAGAAAATACAGAAGATTACAGTAAATACCCACAAAATAGATAAAATTAAACAAAATTGAGAAACGATTGTCACATGTTTTGCAGATGAAGTTCATTAGTTATAATTAGTAAATAGTAATTACTGCATCATTTAAGCCTCTGTGTGTGGTCATGGTCTAAACCAAAATATCATTCTTTGGTTACCCATTTTAGAGCAAAGCTTTCTATAAAAAGAAGGGGAATGAAGTGCTCAGGCTAAAAAAGACAGAATTGATAACTACAGAATTGCTCTTTGAATTGATTTAGAGAAATTGTGATCAAAGAATTGATAAAGGGTACCTATAGAGGAACTTATAGTGGCTCCTATCAAATGGGCTATTGTATTTCCAGGATCATTCTACTTCAATGAGAAAAGGTTATAAGTTCTTTCATAGCAATATGAAATGTGTGGAACCCGCAAAAGAAACTTATTATTCGTTCAAATACCCTACTGTTCCCATCATAAAGTTGGTTGCTTGAAGTGGGTATAGTCTAAATAATTTTGCATCCTGAGAAACATATTAAGTTGCCCAAATATTATGAATCATTGATCCAGAAGTTAAGTATAACCAACCTAGAATGAGGGCACCATGTAGATCCGCACCAATAATACATTGAGCCAACTGATTTTTCCTGCAGTTATGGAATGGATATAGAATCAGACCAAAAAATCATTTAACAATCATACAGTTCGACAAAAATTACTACCCTCAAACTCCACACTACTGAATAACCAACATAAGCACAATGAGATACTGTCTTACCCAGTAGTTTTAAGAAGTTGACTCATGCAGCCTTTCCACATTTCATGCATTGGTTTAAATGTATCAAACCTGAATATTAAAGACATAACAAATATTTTTTTAAAAAATTAAACAATTGAACAACATCAACACATAACATTCACAAAGAACTACTAACTAAAATCCTTTTGTGGCAATCTCATTTTTTCCCATTTTAACAATCAACAAGGAGATCTGCTGTTTTGTCCCTATTCTTCTATAAATTGTGGAACAAACCTCAAAGCATTCTTCACAGATGTAAACACTTCTTAACATCCTCACTCTTTCTCGAAAAGGACCAATTAATGTCTAAAAACATTAATTCCATATAAAGGATGTAAAAATGGAAAGAGATCATCCTGGTTACTGAACTTAGCCTCCTAGTGAAGAACAATGCGACACAAAGGTTCATAATAATAATCCTACAACAAAAAGCAGGGAAAAGAGCAGCAACCACCATATCCATGATAGAATACTCACTTTTGTTTATCTTGAGGCAGTTTAAGTATTCCGGATTTCTTAAGTTGCTTCATCGACATATGTCTTTTACAGCGCTTAGAGTGGGTCTTCAAAGCCCTGATTTGAGAGCCAGTAGACATAACTCGCCCTTTCACTAAATTATCAAGAAGGATCCAATTGTCTAATTTGATGCTTCTAGATCCTTGCATATATTTCTGAGCTGAATCCCCACCTTGAAGAAGCTCATGCAATATCTTATCAGCCATGCTTCCTTTTTTGTTGGAAAACTACGACAAGAAACATCACGATTACCATTCGTTCTGTGAACTATGAAGTCTTAGACGCCACTAATCAAATAGTAAAATTTTACCTTGGAATTAGCAGGTAGCAAATTCTCATGTATTGGTTCCGAAAGCTTGGAATACACTTCACCACTTTCTTCAACATCTATAGATAAAATTATAATTCATGCCATATCAAAACCAAGACATATAACATACTTAAATGTCCACATTCAGCGATGTTAGAAAACAGAAACTACCTTGCAAACTAGAGGGACCCAAGAAAGGAAAATTTCCTGAACGTAACACCAATGGGAAACATAAATTAGCCAAATAAACATTGAAAAGGAAAAGGACGGGAAGATAACTGAAAATTTTGGGGAAACCTTTCTTTGATGAGGAATTGGAGGGAGTTGAGATGCGAGTGTTGAGAAAAGAAGAATTACTGCTAGGAGTTCCTTTTCCATCTTCCTCAACAAATGTCTTATTTTTCTTCTTCTTCTGTTGTTGAAGAAGCTCGGCTTTGGCAACGGCAAACCTTCGCTCCAATGCCTCTTCTAAGCGCGCTTTCTTTGATCTTGAGGAACTGGGGTCGTCGCCATTGTAAACTAAACTAGTTTAAGCTAGGGTTTCAAAAAGAGGCAGTGTAGCTGTATCACTGACCGCCACCCCTAAAGACTCATGAATGAATAAGGGTTCTCTATTTCCAGTAACCGATACCTTCTAAAAAAAATAGAAATTATAGAGTATGAGCTTAGACAGATTAACAAGCTGTATGATAAAAATCATTGGTTGAATGAAGTTGTAAACAGAATTCATGCTTTATCATGGGATGGATCAAAATCAAAGAGTCGGATCAGAAGTTAGAAGCAAAAGACTAGGATTGTTCTTGTGTTCTCACTTCAATCAATAAAAAAATTATATATACTCAGACACTCCACATCCAAATAACATCAATGCAGTATTAGGAAATTAAAGAATACGAGAATTACAGCAATGGCAGCTTCGGGCTTAAGCGGGGAACGGCGGCAGCAGAGCAGCAATCAAGAGGCTGAAAAGGAGGGGAAATTGAAAATAATAGGGTTTTGTTTAATTGGGAGCACCGTTTGAGGGTGGAATAAGAATAGATGTTTACTAATTTATATGGAAATATTAAATTATTAACATGGTCTTCAAAAAATATATATATATATAGTTTATTTTAGGTATAATAACCTTTTTGCCCCTTAATTTTATTAATTTAACCTTTAGATTTTTACTTTTTTTATTCTTAAATTTTTGTCTTTTATTAAATTAAGTCAAATTTAACATATCACAATAACACATTCAAGTCAACATTAAGTATTTTATCATCTCTGTCATATTATAAAAAGTTAAAAATTAATAACACAAATCAATCTATCACAATAATTAAAAAAATATTATTATTTCTTGAGGTTCCGGATTCGAGCATCATGTATGCCAATGATATGAACGTTTAATGTCAAATTATTGGGAGACTTTGAACAATATTACCTTGTACTCACCTAGACATGCACAAAGTCGGATAAAAAACCGATCCATATTGGATAAAAACCGATCTGGATTTTTCACCTAGCCAAAAAATCGGATTTTAAAAAAATCGGTTCGGATCCTAACCGGTTTGGAGGGCCGGATGGTGTAATCGGTTTCAGTTTGAAAAAAAACCGGTTTTTTTTTAAAAACCGGTTTGTAGCCATGATCAAAAAAATTATAAAAATAAGATTTGAGAGATGTTTAGGTATTGTGCAATAAGATTTGAGAAAGTTATAATCAACCAAATACATCACAACCTATTTATACATGTTTAAGGTGGTAAAATGATTATTTTGTTAGAAAAAAAGGTCACAAAACCCCCCAACGGCTAGTTTTTAAAACCCCAGACCGGATTTTTTTCGGATAAAAACCGGTTTTTTATCCCGTTTTTTTCAAACCGGTTTTTAATCCGGTAAAAAAACCGATCGTCCAATCCGGTTTTTAAATATCCGATCCGGTTTAAAAAAACCGATTTTTTCCAAATCCAGTTTCGAATATTTTTTTGCGCAAAATCGGATATTCAGATTTTTTGTGCACCTCTATACTCACCCCAGATTAATAAAAAAATTTAAAATAATAAATTATTCTGATTAAAATGTTAACATCAACTTCTCTGTTAATAATTTTAATTTTTAGCGATATTGACAATAAGGATAAAATAGATGACACCAATATTTGAGTAAAGGTAAAAATTTGTGTGACCAAAATGTAAGTACTCTAAAAGTTGAGAGTGATCATTCAGGTAGTTTAGCCCAAAGAAAATACAATTAAAGAGTGGCGACTGGTGAATGTCAAAACAAACGAGAAGTATGTATATTTATTATACAAATCAATACAACACACCACAAGAAAATTGATCAAATTATCAATGAACTAGAAATGGACATGATTTGCTGTCAATCTCACAATTAATCATTCACATAAAGAAGGCATAAACATAAATTAATAATAAACATGTGTGGATTAAAAAGATTCAGAAAATCAAATCACTATATAATTTACCCCTCTGCTTCTTTGTTTTAGCTACTTTAGGTTCTCCTTGCTTTCCTTCAAGAAATTACTTAACTGCTTCCTCCATTCACCACAGCAACTTCTGTATTAATAATGTCGGTGTCAACTTTCGGAGGACCGGAGTGTCGCCTCGGCTTGGCCGGCGAAGGCGGATAAGAGAGTCGTTTTTTGGTCGACCCAATCGATCCTTTATCTGGTGTGCCATTTGCTTCCTGTCCCAAGGGACTTTGCAACCTGGTTTTGGCTCTTGCGGACTTAGTAGGTACCATGTAACTCGGAAGTGATGGTGAGCTTGCTAAGCTCTCGTTGTCGTGCACTGATGAGCCTGCAATGCTGTGTCTCCGGTTTTGTTCGGACTGCACACTGACAATGCTTCTTGTGTCATCGTCCGGACCGACAATACTGCTGCTAGGGCTTGCAGACTTCAGCTTTCGGGATGGTGTGGAAGCTGACTTTGTAGAAGGGGATGGGAGACCTGAAGTTCGGTTTGGCTTTTGGCTCGCTTTTGGGGATTGCTTATCCAAATTGAGTTGGTAACGTGCATAAGCTTTGCTAATTTCTCCTTCGACGTGTGCACTCTTTACCGATGACTGGTCATTGTTTGGTTCTTTTCCTGCCGTACTACGACCTTCCCATGGCCGAGCTGCCATCCATCGTTCCAACCAACTCCAACCCCAGGTTGGATTGTTCATATCCATGAATAACGGATTCATAGATCTCGAACCGTTCTTCCAAGTTTTCTGCAAAATGTTGTGTAGATATCAGAAACAGCATATACAGTTTGCAGAAAGAAACTCTTTCGAACTTGGAATCGGGATATTTCAAACTTCATCGCTATTTCCCGATGATGAGATCATACATATAATAACGAAATTGTTGTGCTTCAATCTGTTAGGATTTCAAGTTTACTGCAATGCTCAAAGTTACCAAGACACTACGACTTCCTGCCTCATTCATTCATGCATTCAACTGCATATATAAAATCAAAAGAAAAAGATCACCTGATGAGTAAATGAGTAGGCCATCGCCCTTTCTCTTCTCATTGCAGCCTCGTGTTTGCTCAGTAAGCTCGCCTCGATTTGTTCCTTTGATTGCAGGCTATCATCCCAGTCTTCCCCCATCTGTTTAAACATTCAAAATCAATTGAATTCAGTAACAACTGGCACTTTTCCGCCTAGAAAACTAAGCGGTTTGATGATCACATAACAGAAATCACTCTAAAATGCCATGTTACATGCCGTATATAAAAGACCCAAATTCAGAGAAAAACTCAAACCGAATTTGCAGCAGCCAGCTTCTACATCACATTTTCCAGGATATAAGCCTAGACTACTAACACTATTATCGATTCGAGCGATGAATACGACAATATATCGAATTTACCTGCAAGTTCACAAGCTCTTTTGCATGTTTCTGCAAAAGTTGCCTCTGAAGAACCTGATTTTCTTCCGTCATCCGGATTCTCCTCATCCGAACCTTACACTGCACACGAGAAAGGGTTTGCATACACCGAAGGCTACTCGCTGCTTGCCGTTTCACCACAGGCCCTTCCATCAACGATTTCAGCCTCACCAGTCCTCTTAAAGCACGCAATGCCCTTTTTGCCTTTAAAAGAATAAACCATATATGATCAGTGAATCTATTGCTTAAATCTCAGTTTTGAATTGTGGAGAAAACTAGCAAAAAATCTGTAGTAACATTACCATGTAAACTCGAAAAGCTGTCTGAATTTTGATTGCTGCCACTTCCTCCATAGATTTTCCAGCAAACTGAGAACCTCTATTAAGCTGGCGTCGAACAACCGCGACAGCAGCCTGAGTTGGAGCAGTGGGAGCGACAACATCATCAGTAGCTGCAGCAACTGTTTCAGATCGATTATTCTCGCTTCTTCTGGCTGAGGTGGAGGGGACAGATCAACAGGTTCTAAACTGTCTGCATTAGAACTAGGACCCAAATGCAACTGCTTCTCCAAATTCTGCTCTTTCTGATGTATTAAAAAAAAGGGGTCAAATTATTATCTTGTTCCCTCAGCCATGCTCAAAATTCGATATTTAGTCATTGTACTTTAATTTGATATAATTTGATCATTTATTTGTCTAACATCATTAGTTAGTCCATATAGTTAACATTATTCTATTTTGGTTAAAATATTAGAGTGGGTTTTTTCTCTCTTAAAACAACTTTTTTAAACTAATCTGCTAAAATGATTTTTTTTTCGCATAAAAAGTTCACAATAGCATTTTAACAGAAAAAGTAATCAGTGTTAAATATTTGTATCGATCCAAATTATACTAACAGCCTTCCATGGACTAAATTCCAAATTTGAGTATAGAAGAAGGACCAAAACCATAATTTGACAAAGAGAACATAGAAAATAAGAACATGTGAGCTAAGCAAAAATTAAACATGAAATTTGAGCTGAATTGGAATTCTCCAAACCTGGCTTTTCTTTTCCTTTGAATATGGGTGTAAGGCTTTCTTTAGAGAAGATAACCATTTTGCTTTCTTCCCCATCTTTTCTTTCCTTGATATTATCCTTTAAAAGGAATTAACACAATCTAAATAAGTTGCAATTTAAATATAATTAATGCAGGTTAAAGTGGATTTTTCCCAGTTCAGCTATCAGAATTTTCTCATCAACCAAACAAAGGACAAGAACAGAAAACTCCAATCTCCACAATATATTTGTAAGTTGGAACAAATTGAAAGAAAAAAAAGCTTGAAAATGCGTCTTTGAATAGGGGTTAATGAAACAGAATTAGCAACAGTACCTGAAATGTAAAGCCCAGATCTGAAGAAAGTTGAGAAGAAGAACAGAAACAGATCTCGAGGAGGGAAGGCTTTTGAGACAAAAATGGAGGAGGAACAGCTGTTGTGTAATGACCGCACTGGGCCCAATGAATTCACAAAGTCTGGTAACCAAAAAAGCACGCTCTCTTTTTCCTATGGGTTTTAAACTTTTAATGGCGCTTCAGTTTAAAACTCAACTCAACTTGGTTAAAATCGGACTAATATTATATTATGTCGTTCGTGAAAAAAAGAAATATCAATGT